CAATTCAGTATCTTCAGAGTTTCCTGACTGTTCTAGAGTTGTCGAACACGTGTCAGTAGCTAACAGAAAATCTTGTTGATGCCATTGTCTGACAAATTCCTTCTTACTTGGGGATTTCAAAGCAAGATTATTTAAACTTTTGGCAGAGCTGGGTTTACTTGGAGGACAAAAGCTGTCATCTGAGGTCAAAAGGTCGCTTAGGTTTGCTGGTAGAGAGGATGGTAGGGCTATGGGGGGGTGAGAATACTTTCCTTTGGTCAGGAGATCTGATGGTCTGCATAGGGTATCTGACGGTCTGTGTAGAAGATTTGAGATTCATGACACTGAACTGCCTGAGAACGTCATTATTTTCAGGACAAAAGCTTTCATCTGACGTCATCAGATCACTAATATTCACAGGGTAAAATGGGCGTGGAGAACATCTCGGTGAAGTCATCTTATCTTTGAAAACCTCACACACATAGTTTTCATTGTTCACCACACTCTCTCTTTCCTTGGTTATATCTTCTTGTCCAAGGTCTGTCTGTGGACTTATGCCTCTAAGTGCATTTCTGTTGTGGTTCAGTCAAGGACTATTTTGCTGTTTGCCACATGTACATGTGTCGCAGTGACTGGTGCAAGTTAGAAATGAATCTTCTGATGTCAGAGTATCATTTCTTCTGCCTTTTATGTCAATGTATTGATGATCTGTAAGGAAGAAAAAAAACATATAAAAAAAAAGGATTTATTACTTATACAAGAGGCCCATGGACCTTATAAGTCACCTGAGTATCATGTAACAACTTTCCAACAATTGGATTTGGTTCGTGTTTAAACCAGAGGCCATGGATTATTCACAATTTTGTAAAAGGCACCAGTGCTAATATCATAACAAGATGTGTTTGTAAAACACTGATGCCCCGTATGGCAACATCCAGCACAGGTTAACCTTTCTCAGATCTAATATGTTGGTACCTAAGTAAGGCCTTTTCACAAGAAAGATAAATGTTAAATATAAAACCCTAGCACCACCTGTTCAAGGGACTAAGGTTAACATTTTAAAAGGTAGGAGGAAAAAAACTCTGGGGTCAAGGTCAAAGGGTCAAGATTGTTGGTTCCTAAAGAAAGGCCTTGTCTCAAAGATTACAGATGAGAAGTATGAAAGCGCTGGCCCTTACCGTTTGACCAAGGTTAAAGTTATTAAAAAGTAGGTCAAACTCCAAGGTTAGGGTCAAAGGGTTGAAAATTGTTGATATCCAATAAAAGGTCTTCTCACAAGGATTACATATTTAAAGTATGAAAGTCCTAGATTTAAACATTCGAAAGTTATGGCCAAGGTTAAAGTTTTTTCGTAAGTTCAGAAATCTCTAAGGTCAAGGTAGAAAGGTCAAAATTATTGGTTTCAAATGAAAAGGTCTTGCTGAAAAGAATTGATATTTGAAATATGAAATTTCTAGTATCTACCGTTTAAGAATTAGGGCAAAAATAAAAGTTTAGAATGTTTGTGTAAAAATGGGTCAAACTCCAAGGTCAAGGTCAAAGGGTCAAGGTTCTTGATATCAAATAAAAGGTCTTATCACAACGATTAAATATGTGAAGTATGAATGCCCTAGTTCTTAACCTTCAAAAATTATGTTCAAGGTTGTATTTTAAAGTAGGTCAAACTCCAAAGTCAAGGTCAAAGGATCAAGATTCTTGGTACTCAATAAAGCGCCTTTTTAAAGGGATTATATATGCGAAGTATGAAAGCCCTAGCACTTACCATTAAAAATTTATAGTCAAGGTTAAAGTTTTTTTTATAAGTACAGTAATGTCGAATGTCAAGGTCAAAAGGTCAAAGTTGTTGGTATCCAATGAAAGGTCTTTATACAAAGAATATATATATATATGTCAAGTCTAAATGTCCTGTTATCTACTGTTCAATAGATTATCTACTGTTCAATAGATATCGCCATAGTAAAAGTTCAAAATTTTTATGTAAAAGTTGACAAATTCCAAGGTCAAGAGGTCTAATTTTGTGGTACCCAAAGATAGGTCTTGTCACAAGGAATACACATGTGAAAGATGAAAGCCATATCTCTACTAAATCGAAAGTTATGGGCAAGGATAACTAAATCAAAAGTTATGGGCAAGGTTAAAGTTTTAGCGGACAAACAGACAGACAGACAGACAGACAGAGAGACAGAAGGACGGACATGACAAAAACTTTCTTTATTTTATATAGGCATCTATTTACTAGAAAATAGATGGTTTCAGCAATTTTGGGCGAGTGATTGGTCACTGAATGATCAGCACAGGACAAGAAGACTGAAAAGTAGGAGATCAGACGGAAACCTTCAATGGTGTCTAACGTTTTCAAAAAAGACAGACGTATAGATGACATGTAAATTTAAGTTTGCTTTATGCTGCTGTTCAAAAAAATTTGACAGAGGGTTTAATTATGAAAAGATTGAGTGTATACTGGTACCAAGAATTCTTAAAGAAAGTGGAATTGGTGAAAGTGTTTGCGAATCACAGATATTTTTTAATGAAACGAAGGGGAAACGCTTAAAAGTATGACGGTGCGTATCCATCATATGACATTATATTTATGTGTGGTGACTACCATAAATGCACATTATTTAAAATCCGATAATTTAAAAAGCATACATCATATTCTTTTGAATTTTGATTTGAAATAAATAAAGCTTCGATCATGCATAATTTTCTTGCTTTACGTCGATTTATAGCAATTTCACCAAAGTTGTGACATTACTTTTAGATCAACCCTCGTAAATGAAAATGGCAGAAAATGTCTAGTATTTATTTATCTTTCATGAATTACTGCAACAAAATTTATTTTTGTCCTTAAGGGATGAACAATGGAGATAACTCTTCCTAACACATTATTGAATTTTAGGCTAAATTTCTGTACAAATTAATCTTTAATATATTAATTTCAAAACTTAAATAAATCTAATGAGTTAATTATTGAGAAAACAATTTGGAATGAAATGTCAAAGCTGAAATGCTGGAGGTTTTGGCTACCTGCTAAAAAAATTTTCAACTCTAATTAATGAGCTCTAATTAGCTAAGAAACAGGGAGTTAACTGCTTTATAAGGAATTATTTAGCAAAAAAGTCAAAATCTTTAATTCTTAAACAAAGTCAGAGACTGGAAGAAATGGTGTCAAAAGAAACTTCACTATTGTACCTTGGAGCTTTGATAACGATGATCACTGATTAATGGCTGGTGATTAAGACAAGGGGTTCTTAAGCAGTGGGGGATGATGAGGTTTTCCATCAGTCATCAAAGAATGGAGTTTCTCTTAGAAGAACAGACAGCTCCAAAATAAATAACCAACACAAAAGTTAACAATATATAACCAGAAGTCTCTGGAGACTGAAGCTCTACTGGTTTGTACTTATAGCAAAGGAAGGGAAAAGTACTTAAGCAGTTGGGAATTGAAACTTTACAACAGCAATAATTAAATAGAATAATGATGATTAAAATCAGACCAAAACTGTAGGAAGAGTAGCATTTTGAAAAGTTGTTTACAGACAGACAGACAAACAGACAGACGGACAGACGCCAGATGCATTACTATCGCATAAGCTCTTCTGGTCTCTGACCAGTAGAGGGCTAAAAATGTGCACTGTATACAATAGAATATTCTTAGAAAAAGTCAAGTTTACAGTTAAATAATTATCATGACAAAAAAAGAACCAAAATGGTTGCATCAACATCAGTACAAATAAAAGTTTTGAACATTGGGAATTAAAAAATAAAAACATTATCTCTTCAATGATATTGTCTTATTTGTTACAAAACTAATAGCATTTACATTTCATATTTTTCCTACCTCATAAGTGATTTTCAAGCTGCTCTGTAGGAGGATTGTGGGAAATTAAGGATGCACTTCTGCTGTCATTCAGAGTCTGAAATCTTCATGTGGCTTCAATGTGTTTATTTCCTAAAAACAAAAATTGTGTTACTCCAGTTTGACAAAAGAAACCTGCAAAAATCTGAACATTGGTCTAAAATTTCCCAAAAATCTTTCACAGAAAGAAGAAAGAACTAAGTGATACTTTTTCCAGCTGAGGCAGCCAGGGTGTTACAAGATGGTTCTTCAGACACAGCCATTCTCCATTCTGAGCACACTCCCTCAGCAACTGCATATCTATGTCAGACTGACCTTGACTCATAGCAACCTGTCTAGAAATAGTTCAATACCCCAGTAAGATAAAATCTAACCAAAATAGAGAAAGCACTTATGCAAGTAACAAGACACTTTTTAAAAATAGTTTTCACTTATTTTTGAGCCAATAGAAAAAAATGAAATTGAATTCAGTGACAAACCTGGTGGTATTTATCGCCACCTATAGTCTGAGCAGCCAAGTCCTGTAACTCTTGTGAGGAGTCAGCACCAGGGGAGATAATAATCAGAATAGGCTCGGATGGCAAAGTCTCTGTCTCTTGAGATTCACAGAAGAGGGAGAAAGCTCCTTGATTCCTGGAGTATAAAATTAGAAATATTTTATGACTATCTTAGTAAGCTAAACTGTTAAGTCAAAGGGAGATAAAAGATATGAAATATGAAAATTGGATGAAAAAAAATTATGAGTAAAGATTTATAATACTGTAGATTACTAAATTTTCACCACTCCTTATTTTTGCGAGATAGTCATTGACTCTTGATTAGCAGGACAAAATTTTCACGAATTGTGTTTATTGCTCTACTTAATCTCAATGAATACTATTATATGTGAGAATTAAATTTTTGCAAGCACATCGTCTTTCGTAATTACGCGAAAATAAAGATATACAGTAATGGATATCTAAGTCTGCAAACTAATGCAACCAGAGTTACTTTTTACTTCATTTACCTTAAGGCATTCACATAAGAACTATGTACAAGATCTTCACCAAATTTTGTAGAAAGAATTGTGCAGGAACTGGTAATTTGCTCATTCTTTACACAGCAGCATGTACCTAACTCAAAAAGATGCTAACCTAAAGCCTTGCAGGCAAACAGTCCCATGGCAGTCTGTAGGCTGTCTGGCCTGACTGCCTGGACTACAAGTAACTGCTGGAATAGAGTGACTCGCTTCTCAATCACTGAGGGGAACTCCTTCTCACACTCGTTCCTACGGGAGAAGTTAGACCAGAGAGACCCATCATCAAAGTTCAGCACCTGGTACAACTTTGGGAAATTGTTCTGCAACAAACATTTACATTATTTTTTAAATAAGAACTGTGTTTTGAGAATCCCCCTTCCCACTCTAATTGAGGTCAGAAAATTAAACTTGACAGGTTGCTTTCGTTCTGGACAAATTTGCTTAAGAAACTAACTCAAGAGAGAGAAAAAAATTCTAATGCTTCATTTTCTAGTGAAAAGAAAACAGAAGCTTGCTCAACAAAGCCAACATCTCCGTTGAAGGGATAAAGAATTTTGGAGAGTCCTTGTGAATATTCATTCCGTTGAAAAGGCCTCTAGTTTACCTTGAGATTGGTGACAGCAGTGTGCCTCTCTTGATCAAGCCAGGAGGGTAATCCCCGCCCTCTCTCCGACTTCACATCAGACACCAGGATTCCTGTGAAACCCTCCCAGTCCTGACAAACAGTCAACAAATCAAAGTACTCTGAAGTACAGAGAGCCGGGCTTATTTACAGAGTAGAATGAATTTCTTACATGAAACATACATTTATATTCTGATGAAAAAAATTATTTTAAAACTATCAATATAAATGATAAGACACTGACAGTGAGTTTTTCAATCCTAATACCACGGTCCAATTTTGTCAGAATCAGAATTAATCTGGTACAGTAGCTGAATGTAAACAAACAGGCCAGTCTGGTTCCCTCTCCTGCTTTACCTGGTATGTGTATAGAGAACTACAATAACACTGATTATCAAAAATCCTTAGGCTAATGAACTATGTTCTTTGACTTAGAACTAAAGTTTTCAAAGTCATTACTACTTAAGTTTTATAAAGATAAAACTTCGTTTTACTTTTGTTGCTTTATTTAGCGTTTGTATTATCTCAAAAGCGGTTGAGAGCAAGAACTATATTTTTACTCGTAACTTTAAAATGGCGACTATGGGGTTGACTTCCTGCCTTGAACAGGATGACATTAGCCGGCAATTGCTCTTTGAGCAATAAGCCCATCTAAAAAATCAACATTTTTACAGAACATTTCGAATATTCCATTTTTAACAAATATTTTTGCGACAAATAGAGAGTTTCCTCTTATTTTGAACATTGCTTAAAGCTAAATTATAAATGTACATACGTTTTATTCAAACATCTCTGGTCTCATTCCATGCACCATGTGAAGGGCAAACATGAGTTGATCTGCTTTGAACAGAGAGCGGCAGACGTATTCATACACCAGATTCTGTAGTCTCTGAGTCAGGGCTTGGATTCTGTGGTCAGTCCCACTGCCGTCCTGTAAATGTAGCTTAATCAGCTACACCTCTGAATACTTTTTCTGAACTCTAATAAAAGCGTAATATTTAGAATTGATACAAATAATATACATGTATAGAAAAAAATTATATGAAAATTCTATTTTTAAAAATGTCAGAAGCAAAGAAAAATTGATTGAGAGAAAATTTAAGATATAAGCTGAAATATTACTTGTTTGGTCTTGAGAGCTTTCTGGAAGATTCTAAGGAAGGCAGCCAGACTGAATCTGTACATGTTGTTGATTTTGGCCAAGTCACTGGTGACAAAGTAGATCCTACTACCACTCTCTGCTAGAGGCAGGTAGGTCTTTCTCTCCTAAAATAAAATGATCAATAAATCATAAATTATTGTTTTACAGGAGAAATTGATATCGGTAATACATGAGGAAATGTGTTTCACTTGATTTTCCAAAATAAATTAATTCACATGAAAAGGACACAAAATGGGTACATTGGGCCAAAATAAAAAATAGCTTTGTTTCCCCTAACGCGACCGACCCAATTAAATCCCGTCGACTGAAAAGATCTTTTAGTTAAGATGATTCAAATTTTTTTTTATTGTCAACCAAGTTTTATAATATACAATTTCATCAAAATCAGTTTTTATCAGAACAGCCGACATTGTTCTACTGTGATTTTCAAGCATTTGATGGAAACAAAATAGCGCCCAGATGTGATTACATAGAAGTAGTTCTTCATAAAACACAGCGATGTCTCAATCTTATGCCTTTAGCTAACTAGAATTCTTCACTCTTTAAACAATTTGAATAAATTTTCGAAAGAACGTTAAACAACGAACAAACAATACTGTCTGTTGAATTTCAGGTACGTAATACATGGAAAGGCCAGCCTCATGAGCAGATGAGGGGCCCACCTAGTGAACACATCATTCTTTCACTGTATCTTATTTAATTTGAGTTTTGATCTAATAAACAATTCATCTATGTTCCTATGTTTACTATATGCTATCATGGAATCATAGGAGCTGTTGTAAATATGTCTGCATATTCATCCTAATAAATATTATTCAGTTGTACTTTTTCATGCCTTTATTTAAGGGTTAAATATCATGACTATGACATTGTTTTATAACCCTAGCATTTTAATCATTTGTAGATTCGGTTTGGTTCATTTAAATATTGTTTAAATACTCTTTCCAAATAGTTTTAAAATCATAAGTTAGCTTCCTGAGACGTCCAGTGTATTTTTTCTTTAATTAGACCCTTGAAGATTGGTTGTTTCTTTGCTTTTAATCCCTTCGAGATTTGTTGGGACGACATTTGAACATTTCCCCATTGCTCCAAATTTAGACGTACTATGCACTTTTTTGCCATTAAGCAGTGGGGATCTTTTTGAACCAGCATACAACACCGCATCTGCGACACTGGAATAAGTTTTTATGGTCCCTTTTGAAGGACCGTTTTCAATGTTCCTCATTGGTATTTGAACCTGCGACTTAAAATTAGCAACTTACGTCTTAACTCCAAAGCAAAATGCTCTGTTTTTGGTTTTTGGTTCCTCCTCCTTGTTTAAAAACTCTGGCGTGAGATATTTCATAAGTTCATCTAAATTACAGTTGTGAATTAATTATTAATCGTAAATATTGCTTTTAAATGGCATATGTATGATACTTAGCATTTTGTTCACAATCGCTTTCTTTCGTACTTTTCTTATTTATAAATATAATTTTCCATTAAATTTTAGAATGTATTTTCAAAGCTTATACTGTCAGAAAATAAAATTGTTTACCATGAAAAATTGTGTGTGATAAAAAAAATTAATCCTATGTTCTTTCCGAAATTTACATAAACCAACTTGCAAATTTAGGGAAAAATCCAGAAATAAGGTATTCAAGAAGGGAAAAGCAAAGATATTTTTTATTCCGGCCTTGTCAGATGTATTTTACTGAAAAAAAGAGTGAAATTTACATGAAAAATTGTCCTCTATAGAGAAAAACAAATAGTTCCATTTAACACCAGAGGGAAAATTTGTTTGCTTACCTGTGTATGGAATGCAGATAATCTGAGCTTTCGTTGCATTAAAAAATTATAGCCTTTTTAAATTACAAAATTGTTTATAATATGTATGATTAATTTTAATGAATATACAATAACAAAATCATGTTCCTGTTTTACTGCTTTATTGGGACGAAAATCATGTTGTTTAAATGTGTACGGAGGTTTGTGGAATAGCCCCATTTATAGCTATAAAATCCCAATTCGTCAGCAACTTTATGCAATTTACAGTGTTTTTATAGCAAAAGACGACACATCGATATGGTTTAAACAAGTATTTCATTCTACAGCCAAACATGCATTTGAATTGTTCGGGTTATATACAGGGGTGTGCAATTAGAAAAATCAATAACTAGCCCACGGGCTATTGGCAGCTATAAAGTTACTAGCCCCAATGAAAAGTTACTAGCCCAAATACATGAAATATAGGTGCAAAAATTAAAATAAATAAACTATTTGTTGAAAAGAAATTAATTGTTGAAAAAGTCAGGGTACTGAGGTCATTCTTTTTAAAATTAAAGTTTAATTCTCATTATGAAATTAAATCATGTATAAATTATAATGAAAGAAGATTAAAATGAATTTAAATAATTAAATTATCTTCCCTTTTTCTGAACATTGCACTAGCTCTTTTAGAATGAAATTTAATTCATTTTGTTTTCACCTTAAATCATTAAATACACTATAAATATATTTTATGTGAGTCATAAAACACTTATCTTTCAGTTGATTGAGTGATCGTATAATAACTTAATGAGATATCTGCATTTATTTACCATAAACAAAAGAATAGAGGAAATTCGGATTAGGAAAAAACGATCGTTTTTGGAAGTAAATAAGTCAGGTAGTGCTGCAAAACAGATAAGATTATGGAGATTTATTGAGAGTAGGAGCATGTTGTCAGAAAAATTTTCACTGGTTGGGAATTTGATAGCAAAAACGAGTGAAAATACAGGTTGTGCTTTTCATGTTTTGCGTCTGTAGTTATAATTTTAACTAGCCCAACGGGCTACCTCCATGCAGAAAATCACTAGCCCGATCCCAAAAAATGGTAGCCCCGGGCGTCGGGCGATGGTAATTGCACACCCCTGATATACATGTTTCTGATCTGATAATTTTTTGATGACGTTCGTGATTTATTGGAGAATAATGTCCGCAGCATTTCTTTAATCTGGGAAATAATCCTGGTAGTATTCATGTTAAAATCTTTGTTTTACAAAACAAGAAATCTGTGAGCGAATGCTCATTAGTAATACCCTCGCTCTGATATGAATGTACGCTTTTATGTGAATAATTATACACATGTTCAGAATAAAATAAAACAGAATGTAAATGAGACATCAAAAAATATTAAACAATAAACAAAGAGTGTGTTAAAATTTCAATTGCACCATATGGCTGCAATAAATAGTTGCTGAGAAAATTGCGACGAAAATTTGTCCTGGGCACAGACAGACACACGGGTAAAATGGAGGTCGACATCGGATTCCAACAACAAGAGGCCCATGGGCCACATCGCTCACCTGAGCACTAAGGGTAGGAAAAAGTAGAAAATGGCTTTTTATTGTAAGTTTAAATCCAAAAGTAGTTCCATGACCAATCATGGATTTGCTATTTTTTAGAAAATGATTTTTAAAGAATTTTCCTATATATATCTTAAAAAACTTTGGTTGGCCATTTTGGCCCCGCCCTACCCCCGGGGGTCATGATTTGAACAAACTTGAATCTACACTCTCTGAGCATGCTTCCATATAAATATGATGAATTATGGCTTTGTCATTCTTGAGAAGAAGACTTTAAAAGAATTTTCCTATATATTTCTATGTAAAACTTTGGTCGGCCATTTTGGCCCCGCCCTACCCCCGGGGGTCATGATTTGAACAAACTTGAATCTATACTACCTGAACATGCTTCCATATAAATATGATGAATTATGGCTTTGTCATTCTTGAGAAGAAGATTTTTAAAGAATTTTCCTATATATTTCTATGTTAAACTTTGGTCGGCCATTTTGGCCCTGCCCTACCCCTGGGGGTCATGATTTGAACAAACTTGAATCTACACTACCTGAGGATGTCTCCCCATAAGTTTCATCTTTCCTGGCACATTTATTTGGTTCTTGAGAAGAAGATTTTTTAAATATGCCACCAAATTTTCATTAATTCCCAATTATCTCCCCTTGAATGTGGGCGTGGCCCTTCATTTGAACAAACCTGAATTCCCTTCACCCAAGGATACTTTGTGGCAAGTTTGGTTGAAATTGGCCCAGCGGTTCTTGAGAAGAAGTCGAAAATGTGAAAAGTTTACAGACAGACGGACAGACAGATGGACACCGGACAAAATGTGATCAGAAAAGCTCACTTGAGCTTTCAGCTCAGGTGAGCTAAAAATGAATCCCACCATATGGCATGTTTCAGCAAATATTTGTTAAAATTTGAAGCATCTGCAATGAGTAGTTGCTGAGAAAACTGTGACGAAAATTTGTTATATGTAAAACTTGGGTCAGCCATTTTGGCCCCACCCTTGCCCCGGGGGTCATGAATTGAACAAACTTGAATCTGCATTACATGAGGATGATTCCACATGAGTTTCATCTTTCCTGGCCCAGTGGTTCTGGAGAAGAAGATTTTAAAAGGTTTCCCTATATATCCCTATGTGAAAAATGGGTCGGCCATTTTGGCCCCACCCTAGCCCCGGGGGTCATGATTTTAACAAACTTGAATCTACACTACCTGAGGATGATTCCACATGAGTTTCATCTTTCCTGGCCCACTGGTTCTGGAGAAGAAGATTTTTAAAGAATATTCCTATATATTCCTATGTAAAGCTTGGGTCGGCCATTTTGGTCCCACCCTTGCCCCGGGGGTCATGATTTGAACAAACTTGAATCTGCACTACCTGAGGATGATTCCACATGAGTTTCATCGTTCCTGGCCCAGTGGTTCTGGAGAAGAAAATTTTTAAAGATTTTTCCTATATATTCCTATGTAAAACAAGGGTCGGCCATTTCGGCCCCGCCCTTGCCCCAGGGGTCATGATTTGAACAAACTTGAATCTGCACTACCTGAGGATGATTCCATATGAGTTTCATCTTTCCTGGCCCAGTGGTTCTGGAGAAGAAGATTTTTAAAGATTTTTCCTATATATTCCTATGTAAAACTTGGGTCGGCCATTTTGGCCCCACCCTTGCCCCGGGGGTCATGATTTGAACAAACTTGAATCTACACTACCTGAGGATGCTTCCACTTGAGTTTCATCTTGCCTGGCCCAGCGGTTCTGGAGAAGAAGATTTTTTTA